CGCACCTCGGACTCCTGTTAGAGAGGACAGCACAGGGGAGTCACCTGCGCCGACTCCGGATTCACGCGCGCGTTCCAGATCTATGAGATCGGGCAGGAGTCGGTCAAACTCTGCACTTGGAGCCACGGCTGTGATGGCCGGCATCATCGCCAGTAGTGTGGGTGCCGGTTGGTCTCCGGTCACAGAGCGCAGCGATGCAGAGTTCCCACCGCGCTCTGGTCCATCTCCTTCTCCTCTCGCATTTGCCGAGGAGTAGCAGCATTGACATCTGGATTATTTCGTGTCTGTAGTGGCCGTTGGCGTTGCATTGATAGACTTCGAAGACGCTGCTGTTTGCTCATTCTTGCGTCGAAGGTAGGAGAGGTAGGGGTCGGCAAATTGAAAGTATGTCTATGCTTAAAGAGCACCTGGCCGGTGGAAGTTGTAACCCAACTCAATCAACTGAGAGCAAGACTTCTATCCGGGGTTTTTTTTTTTGTTTTTTTTTCCAAGTGAATTAAAGAGCGGCTACTGTACTGGTCGTATAGACAGTGCAGGCTATTTAACATCCTTAACAATGGTTCAGTTTCATACTAAGCCACGAAGTGTCGGCAACGGGTCTCGTTCAACGGATCAGGGCATTGGCCGTCGGTGAACCGAGCAGACCCAACTCATCCTTTTCTTGGAGAACCCAAATCGGAGGGGACCCTTGTGATATTACTGTCGAAAGAAAGCGCGACTATGTATGTCTTGAAATGATCCAAATCGCTAGTAACAAATGCGAGTTCCTGCCTCCGTATACGGGGCTTGAAGTGACAATATAGAGTCGAACTACGTGACGACGAATGTGGCCCGAGCCACAAATGGACCAATGAACCTAGACTTGTACGGAACAATGGACAGGACTGTCCTTCCATGTGCCGGGCTTCTGAGCTGAGACTTGATCTCCTGCTGCTCGCGATGCACGCAATTATTAGGTTAAAACTGTGGTGTGTAATGGCATATTTAATCATTATCGGCCACTGAGTGACGTGCTACCACCCTTATTCTTTCTATTGTCATCTTGGAGCTCATTACATGTCGAATCAACTCTCCGTATCCTTTCCAACTATCAACGCCACCCACCATGCAAACTCAGTATGAAACGCTAGAGGAAACGAGTAAGCATCCGTATATCCGAGTGGTCATATTTTAACTCTTGATAGTAATGCATGAAGGCGATATGAGCAGCTGTGAAGAGAACGACGTCGTCGACGACCGCGATTTGGATATACTTCGCGGCGCGTGCAGGGCATCCCACTGCTCTGGATCTGTCAGTGATGTTGGACCAGGCGACAGCGAGCATGCTCTGGCTCCTGATGGAGCCAACAGCTCCAAACGCCTTAACCTTCAGCGCTCCAGCCCCCAAAGCACTGTTGATTTGGAGCAACCAGATCATACCGTCTATAGGGCTGATCATCAGGCGTTTTCGAGTATTGCAACTAGTCCTGCCGCTATGAGTATCGACAGTGTGGACGGTCCAGGGCCGAGCCAGAGGATCACGCACAATGACGACTTGGAAATGTTCTACTCCAGGCCCAGCGAACCGGAGCCTTGCAACCCTGGCTCATGCAACTTGGCCAACCATGCTCTACGGCCGGATCACCGCAAATATGGGCGCATAGAGGGCAGTAACTCCTCAAACATGTCCTCCTTGCCGCAAAACATGGAATCCAAGACGGCTCTGCAGTTTGGGCCATGTCGGGCTTGTGGCTGTGACATGGGACGGTTGCTGCAGCTGACTGAAAGAATTTCGCAGTTTGATCTTCCCGGAGATATACCATGGGAAGCTCACCTAGCCAATGCTGCGGTATTGCCTGCCCATCAGAAGGCTGCAGCGATGCGCAAGATAAGTCAGTGGGCACTACGAGACTACGCGATAAAGTCAATGTTCCCGTCACTTGGGGCACTAGACAAGGACAGGCGGGAAGCTGCGATCTCGTCTGAAAGGACAGCTCGTCTGCGCGGTGGGTCCACGCAGGAGATGACCTTTGTCACGCCGCACCAGCATGATACTGTTCCCGGGGACAAGCATTTGAACATGAATCTTCTGGGGTTTAGAAGTAGAGACCACCAGACATGGGCGGGAAGCCCGGTCAGGCCAAGGGAAAGGCTACGCGGTCAGCTACGCAAGCCCTGGACAGATTCCGACGAGCGACATCTCAGACTGTCTGTGAGAAGAAAAATCGGTTGGGCTCAAATCGCACAACAGTTGAACCGCACTCCAGGTGCTGTCGAGCAGCATTGGAGATTAATCAATCATGATAACAAGACGCGCCGGCGCGTGCCCAAGGCTTGGATCGCCGTCAGGGTGTGGTGGATGGTTTCGCGGTAGAACAGCCGCAGGGTCTCCTCGAAGAAGTGATTACCCGAGGTGCTCTGGTCGTTCTCATTGGCCCAGGTGTTAGGCGGTTCGAGAACCTGCAGCCGAGGGGGCGAGTAGTGCGTTCAATAGGATTGGCGAGCAGTACCTGGGCCTGCCATGAGGAAATATTTCACGAAATAATCATTGCTGAGTGAGGTAAAAGTTGGGTACTCACAGCAAAAGTACAGGACAAGCAGGTGGCGTACCAAGGCATTGTCGGCAGTCACGCTGATTCACCAGGTTGGCGGCACCGTGATCTAGGGAGGGCCGACAGGGGCAATCATCTTATCCAGCCTTGGTAGCTGCCCACACGGATCCGTGGTGGTTGACTGCGTCTGGCGATATGACAAGAATTCCTAGGCGTTATTCTGGTCGTACTTGTGCTTCTGTGCCAGCTCGGGGCCTACGGCAAGATACCATTGCCAAAGCCGTCTGGGATGTTTGCGCTCCCGGCGCGCCCGATATTTCCAAACCCCATGCCGGATAGCGGGGGGAGCGTTGTACCCGTGCTCGTCCTGGACTCTACGCGAGGATGACTGAGCACGGCGCCACTGCCTGCAGGCATGACGCCGCCTAGCATATCTGATGGTATTCAGATATGCTTGAAGGCGTGTAGAGCTTAGGCACTCCTTGGTCGCCAGTCCGTCGGCCTAGGACTAGTTGAGGCGCCGACTGCACGCCGCGGCAGAAGCGGCAGGAGCAGAGACGTGGTCGGTCGCGGGAGCTGTGTTGGAGCCTGATAATTCAATGGGCAGAATGGGCAATCATACGAAACGCCGGCTCGTGTAGATTGGGCAGTCGGTGGCGGCGGCGCGTGCCCCGTGTGTGTGCGTGTGTGGTCAACGAGCGGCACGGTTGACGAGCAGCGGGATCGGTGGATGGTGGCTGCGCCGCGAGACGCATTTAGATAACATCGTATCCGATGGTATCTATCGTGTCGTGTTGTGTCGTGCCTCGTCTAGCCCTGGGCGAAGGCTCGATTGGCACTAAGACAGTGGTTTCGTGCGCGTGCTGTGTCGCTGCGAAAGGTCAAATTCTTGAGTGTCGACCATGTGAAGTCAGATTAAGCTCAAGTGGTCCAGGGTCAAAACAGATCCTTTAAGACCAAACCATCCCTTGGCTGTCATCTGCGGGGCGTGTCTGCGGACTAAAGTGACCCCAAGTGGCGGGATCGAACCGTCCTTTGCCGCACGAACGCGATCTACCGAACCAGCCCAAAGTTCGTCTTGCGTGTCTACAACGTGACGCAACTCAGGTCAAGAATGAGCGACCGAAAGAAGTGAAAAACGGACCATGGCACGTCGACCAGGAAGTGGCCACACGTAAGAAATGGCCTGGAGTCGTTTTGGGTTGGCGCAAGTTCATCTGAGGAGCGACCAGAAGGAGCGCTGTCTGGATGTCAAGTTCCTGCCACGACATGAAGTCGAATGAGGCCGATTTAGAAAGTGGTCGAAATCTGCGGGGCTACAACTGCCTGCGGGGCGTGATCTGGCGCAGGAACGGAAGGTTGCCTGCAGCTGATTACAGCCACTGGGGCAACATCAGTCCACTAGCAGCTTGGCAAACAAGTTCTGCGGGCCGTAATTCGACTTCAGGTCGTGGCAGGAACTTGACATCCAGACAGCGCTCCTTCTGGTCACTCTCCAGACGGACCGAGCTCATTTCAGGAAATGTCCCTTTCTGTTCATTTGTTGGCCCAGTGGCCTGCTTGGCGCGCCAGAGTTAATGGACATTTCTGGCCACCAGCACTTCGGCCGCGTTAGTCTACAGAAGTGTCCTTGGGCATGCAACGCGACGTGGAGCTGGTCTTGACAGGCAGTTTTAGCACAGGAAATGGAGGCACTTGGAGAGCGTCTTGTGACCAGCTGAGACGATTGAATCGAGGCTACGGATACCAATAATGCACTACAGACGCATCACGGCACACCACAAGAGCATTACGACACATCGTGAGGGCAACTGGGTACATCTCACAGTGGACGTACCATGGAGAATAGACGACTGCCCAGGAGTAATGCTACGATCCACGGCATCTGCACTATATCGCTATCTGCACATCGATGCTTGCGTATCTGCATTAGCGTAGCCAGCACCACGGACAGGTTGCAGAGGCCGTCTTCGCTGGCCGGTACGCGGGATTCCACATCCACGACCCCTGTCGGATTCCACATTGACAGGAACGCCCCGTCAGAGCCCTTGACCGGAACTCCTACTGAAGCACGCCGTTCAGCGGAAGACCAATGCCTCCAATATGTCACACCATCTCGACGCATTTGCTACTCGCCTCTCTCGCGGACGGGACGACACGGACGGCGGGGTTTCAAGTCACGCCTGGGTAGATATCGTCTGACAGGCACCGCCATGGCGCCCCGTGATGCGCGAGAGAGATGAGCAGAAGCTGGGCCGGCTTAGTATGGACATGTGGATGGCAGTGTCTCCTTGGCCTTCCTTCGCACGTGCTTCTCCGGAGTAGGTCGACCAAGGGGTAAGTAACTAGTGAAATAGCCATCTCCTCTAAGGAGGCATCCCCTAGTTGGGCGACATCCCCAGTTAGGAGGCATCCCCTATGTGGCCCGCATGCCCCTCTTGCGAGGCATCCCCCATTTGGGAGGTATGAAGACCGCTCAGATGGGACGAGACCGCCAGAGGGTGCCAGGATGAAAGAAAGAAAGACTTGGAATCGGTGGGAGATCATCTTTAAATATTCATAGCCGGACTCTGGTAGGCACGCTGGAACATTTTTGTTCCCGGCAATCCAGCCCCCTCTTTCTTGGTGTCCAAATGAATCATTTGGATCAACCGCCCGAGTTGTGAAAGATCCCCGGTTGATTTTTGGCATCCAGACGAGGTCAACGCGGCTGTACAGATGTGGTCACGAAGGGCAGGACCTAACACAGCGGCGAAAGGGCGATGCGGCGCTTGCAAATAAGCGACCTTTTCTTGCCTCTTCCACGACTATGTAGGTTTATATCGACACGATGCCTAATTACTGCCAAAAGGAGAAACAATGCCTAGAACAGCGCTACACTCCTGGTATGCTAGTGACTAGCGTCGGAAACCGGACGATGGCAAATGACACTCTAAGTAGTGCCGGAGGACGGACAATGGCGAATGGCGCTGCACTCGGCGCCGGAGAACGGACGAGTACGATATTGTACCCTTCCACGCCGTCGGATCTACACCTCGGCAAGGATTGAAGAGTTCACTGACGGGTATGCTGCAGTTACGTGAGCCCTTCGATGGTCGCTTATATGCAACCCAGGATAAGACTTAGACACAGGTTTACTAGATAGAAAATGTAAACACGTCCTTCAGCTGTCCCTCTTATGTTCTATTCTCTATTTCATCCTCCCGGGTCGATGTTTGATTGATGCCATGCATACCAGGGAACAAAAGGTCAAGGCGCGCAGAAGCGGAAAGTCCCTTCTCGGTAAGGCTAAGGTCTTAGGAAAGAAGGCAAATGTCTTCAGTATGGCCATGTATTGGGACCCCGTCCACAAGAAGATGCGAACAGTTGTGCATTTACCTCCAGGCCAAAAGATGCCGAGTTTGGAGACATTTGTAAATCACCAAGGCAGACCCTAGACCGGAAGGATACTCATGATTTGGAGGCGTTGAAGGCAATTAGCGAGAATTCCCAACAAATATCGCCCGCCATCCACACTGATCGAGGTGGCAGCACTCAGCCTGCGCTCGTCTCGCCAGTCGAAGCTGGGCAGGCTGCCTCAAGCTCTATGTATGATTTTCCAGGCGAGGAAGAAGATACTATCATTGTGCGGGACCCGCCTCGGCGCGTAGACCAGGCATCGCCAATCTCTCCACAAAGAAGTGTGTTTCTTTCTTGGATTACAAACAGGGCCGCTTAATGCTAACTGATGGACTATAGCAGTATCCGAAGTCACCATCGACGAAGACGCCTTGTGCCAGACACTAGAGGTCCAAGCCGAGCAGCCTGAGATTGACTTGCAAGCCGTTGAATAGCGACTGAGAGTTGATCAAGTTTGGCGTGTATCTGTTCGAGCTGGTCGTGGATTCTTCCATCATGTCAGCGAGCGTTTGCCTTCTATGAGGCGAGGCACACTGACTGGGATGCGGGATCGAATTCCTCGTCTTCGGCAAGGTCAGGAAGAGTCGAGAGGCCTGATTGACCTGCACGCATGGGCTGGTTGATCAATCTGGACGATGAATAGCAGTGTGATTCATCAACAAGTCGGTTAGAAGCGATATGTATTATCGCATGCTTGATCTTCCGTGGACTCAGGCGGCGATGGCTTCGATGATATACCTTCCGCAGATCTACAGAATTTCTACTTATCAAAGAAATGTTTGAGACAGTATAGCTCTATTCTGAGTCGTCCATGCTAATAGTTTGTGGCCCGACCGACGCAGACTGCGCTCGACGGCGACTAAACGTAACCATGCCGGGTGAATTGATCGATAATGAGAGGGGCCATGTCATGCGAAAATGCCTTTATTACCGAAATTCAACGAACTACAACCGTTTCGATACCCAATAAATATGATATGCACCGTATTTTGGGCCTATCCATAGCCTCAGAGAGCAAGAAACTCAGGCCAGAATCCTCCATGCGGCCCGCTACCCCGGCATCCTACATATGTCCGAGTCTATTACGCAACATCATAGTTATTTGAAGATCCAGGCCAGTCTTTGCCTAGGGCCTGGCGTTTGACGTCGCCCCCGAGCACTTCGTCCGCCTGTCTCTTCTGCCCAGTCGGATGTCTTGACGCGGGATCGTAAAGTTCCACCAACGCCATAGCCTCGTCGTACGCAACAAAAGAAGGCTCAGGAGCTGGATGGTATGTTGGTGTTGTTTGTGTTGAAGTCTCCTGGCTACTGATCTGGGTGGGTAAATAGTCGAGTTCGTCAGATAACACACAGCCAGCTGCTAGCCGGCTCTCCAAGAGACAGATGCGTTCTTTCAGACCCTGCGACTGTTCCTCCTGGAGCCTGTGAGCTGTGCGCATCTCTTCAGTCTGCTTTATAAGCTGTTCAACCTGGCTTCGCAGCCGGTCGTTATCGTAACGCAGCCTATTGGCATAGGCTTGCCACTGGTGCAACTGAAATGCTGACTCTTGGATGGCCGCTTGAAAAATTCTGAGTGGAATGGTCAGCGCCGAAAAGTCTCGAGCGTCTGGATTATGAAAGACAGTAGACATTGATAATTTGATCGGCTTGTATCGATATGAGTTTCACGTTCGCATGTATACTGCACTGGGAGCACTAAATATATGTTGCCAATCCACACTGCTCCAGAATTGATCTGGTGATGAGCACAGCGTCCCAACTGCTCGTCCTGCTATCATCATGTTCTAGAAACGTATCATGTTTGTATCAAGATCCTCTTGGTATATCGTCATAATTGGACATGCTAAGATATCGCTGACGAGAGGCCATTTCCTACCCATAATTATTGTGACCTCAGCATTGTTATTCAGAAGACCGTATTTTGGCCATTCCCATATGTGTTCCGAGAATTGTATGTGCAGTTATTATGTATGGGACGGTTCTGTGCTTGGACACAAATTGTCTTCGATATTCATAACATGCTTTTGGACTACTGTGCCGCGCTGGAATACCGTGTATATGCCTTGACCGGACGTGGTCATCCTCTCGAGTATTGAAATTTACTACGATATAATTTTTATTCCACGTACAATAAACATCTAGCATTTCTTGTTATCGACTCATCATGAGTTCTGGAACAAGACAATCAATGTTGTCGGAGACTCGATATGCCAGCGCAGCGTCACCGGGACAAAAGAGCCCACGCAATCATCGGCGCAGACCGATCCGAATACCGTTGTTTAAGCCAACTCGACTACAACCTGACATGGAGACCGACTCGCATCACCCAGCTTCCGAACTATGCTCGGCCGATGCCAGCCGCCTTACGGCAGCTGTGCAAGAGCTGGGTAAACTCAAAAGATACGCAGATGAACACGAGATCCAGATGCGACAGCTAGAAGACGAGTAAGGCTGCTCCTATGTACCTTCTATGAAAATTACAGACAAGATTGGCATTGAACCAGTATTCATTTACTGTGAGTGATGAGCGTCTTATCTGGCGCGAGCTGACTGACAACCCGTAGGTCTCAGACTGTGATGCAAGGGAAAGTTACGCAGACTTCTTTATCGGCCAATGCAGCTGCACATCTCCGAGTCTCATGCGCTCCATGTGCAGCATTGACACTCCTGTTCCCTCCTGTGGTCTTGCTCCCACGGGTATTGAAGTATGCAATGGTGATCTGTGGCCTCGATCAGGTGGAATCTCGGACTCTGGTATCGAAATGAGGAGGGGCAAGTTGCTAACTCGAATACTGGGAGTTGGTCCTGGAACCGTTGTTTCTATTGAACGCAAAACCCAGTTTCCGAGAGAAACTAAGATGCATAGCGTCTTGCAGGGTAGCCCAATATGGCCCCATTTTCGGAGCAGGTAACGTGTCCACTGGATAATCTTGCCAAGGGGAAGATGGAACGCCCGAGATTGCAAGAGATGCAGCACTTTCCTGTTTCTCATGGCGCCCCCGAGGGCAACCGTTTGCTGCATGGTCACTTTCTTTTTCTTCGGAACGGGGGCAACCTGCAACGTCCCTGTTTTGCCCAAGGTGACAGCTGCTGTTGATGTCTTTTGCATCCAGTCGGCCCATCTGTACGGTTCCTGCAAGCCGGACAGAGGGGTCGAAGGTAAGATATACCAGGACCTTCAAATCACTTGAGTTCCCACTCGTCGTGGAGAATATTATTGATCGCCCGTCGCCGGTAGCGACAACATTACCGGTCAGTCCCCGAGGGTTCATGACCTGGTCCAGTCGCTGGAGTTTATCGTCGTGATCTCTGTAATCATCGCAGCATGCTTCAGGCGGCCAGAAATGTATGGTGTTACTTTCAGGATCCTCAATGTAAGGATTCCCAACACAGTAGTCTCCGCTGGGACTGTTTTGAGTCGTAACGACGCTTGATGCGTTGCTAGACACCCTAGTCCCAGTCCGTATACGCAAGCGTTGCATGCATATGTCCCCAGGCAATGGATCGTCGACCAAGTCGAGATATGTACTGCAGGCCTGGTGATATGTCGATAAGTAAGTCTTGCCTTTGCTGAACGTTATGGATCCATCATCACCCCGGTGAAACGCATGGGCGTCACGCTGTGGCGCAACCATGTAGTTAGGCTGGTTGCTGCTTGTAAGTAGGCGAGCTAATGGCTCGTTCGGAAGAGGGTCGTTGTCGTCGGTACCATCTCCATCCGTACTGCTCGCGTCCGGAAAGCGAGTGTTGGTAATATAGTAAGTTCTTTTACTCCCACTGCGCCCATTGAGCCACTCTTTGCGACTCTCTATGATCCGGACGCTTCCGGTCTGCTCGTCTTGTTCGAGATTGAGAAAGGTCCACCGGTCATCAATTGGTCCTTCAGCATGCTGGCGTCGCCATGCGTCTCGCTTCTTCATTATTTGGGTCTTCTCGGGGTCAAAGTCGTCGACTGCAAAACGGAAACAGTAGTAATGCGAGGTCCAATCGATCTCTTCGAGTTCGAACGCAGTGGAGTTTGAACAACCGTAGAAATGATTGCCGATGATCTCGAAGCAGACTGTAGATCCGATCTCGTAACCAACCACATTAGTTAGATGCATACTCTCAGCAGCCAATTGGCCTGTTCGAAGGTCGAAGTGACGAAGTGCCCACTTCCTGATGCCGTTGGCTTGGCGCTCGGAGTGGGTTCCGAAGATGAGGTGATCTCGGTTGTTGCGTACAAAGAGTCTCATTGCAGACTCCAGCTGAACAGCCCCCAGCAACTGTTGCCTCTCTGCATTGAAAATCAAAAGCCAATGCTGGGTGTTGGGTCTCGCAAACGAATACAAGCAGGACGTAATCCCTGCAGCATGGTACAGGACTCGAAATGTGTATTTTCGACAACCTGCCGATTCCGGAACTGCAAGCGACACCAGCGTCGGCACATCCACCACAAGCTCGTGATTTGTTGCCTTCTGTACGTCGAGTATCCGCAGATCCCTTCTCGCATTCGCACGATCCTCAACAAGATAGCAAAGTCGGCCATTGTGAAAGGCAAAGGAGTCGGCAACCGCAACGACTGCGGCTACGTATGGGGAAGCTGAAGCTATTGCTCTGCGCCGCTTGACCAGCCTTCTGAAGCCTCTAGCGAACTCTCCGGTCTCTAGCGCATCCTCAGCCTCCACCGAATACGCGGCTTTGTCCTGAATTCAGAATGGTCAGCTCTCTAAATTCTCACCATCAGACAGCGGCGTCAGCTCATGCTACCACTTACTCGCAGGAGCATCTTGCAGAGATTCTCCTCGCGGATAAGGTATTGAAAGTGGCGGCAGCTGCGTGACAGGTCGTAGATCTCTTCCAACGTGAGACCGCGCACGATGTAGGTCATGATCTCATACGGTAAGCGTTGAAGCCCCGAACTCAACACCGCAGTTTTTCTGCTCGATAAGCTTGGCTGCACGGTACGGGCCGGCAGCCTAGCCTGGGTGGAAGGTTGGGACATTTACCAAGAACCAGGTGTCGCGAGGTTTCTATTTCTTCTTCATTTCTTTCGGGACAGGCTGTGATATAGGGTGTGTGCAGCAGGTATAAATTCAGCACCCCTCAGGTGGGCGGAAAGTTGATTGTCTTAAGTATGATTGCAGAGCCTCGCGGACGGAATGCCGCCATCAGAGCCATTGCACACTCGTAATGCAGGTCGTTGCGCCAATGGCCACTCTCGCTAAAATATCAGACGTGGATAGTGAGAGCCTGCTTCTATTGTAACCTACCTACGTGAGGCTCTGGGTGGCAACACTTTTAGCTCACCTCACCTACTGTACTCAATTTTAGCCCCATCACGACCTAGACTGCATATATCGCCCTAGGTTACAGGTACCCTCATACATCTAGCACTTCCACTGCCGTTTGATAACACTATTAACTATGCTCCAATGGCCGCACTATCATACACTAGATGTGGGCGATCGCATCTAATTGTGGAAGAGGAAACACGAATGGAAAGGTTGGCTCGTTAAAGTGGATTCGGATTCTGTGGAGGTCTGGACATAGTTCACGTCTTAGCTTGGGAGACTGTGCGGAGCTCGCAAAGGTTGCCGATCACGCCCAAACTCCCTGAGGATGATTTCGAACCAATCAACTGGCTTACGATGTGATTGTCGTAATGGTATTGCTTTAACACAGAAGGTCTATTCGGAGCGGATGCTTGGGAAGTACAATGAACCTCGATTCTCGCGGTTTGATGGCTTGACCGAACTTTAAATAGCCTAATACCAAAAACAACCCGTCAAAAGAGCCCCACTTGCCTGACGTTGGGTCTTCATGCACATGATGAAACGACACAACACAAAGCGAAGGAGGTATCTTGCAGGTGTAAAAGCTTACGAGGTTAATGAGGCGATCGCCATCTTATAGAAATGCTCTACAGATTTTCAAGGACAACGGCCTGAAACAATGTCCGATCTGCCAGAAGAAGTGGTCATCGCATTGAGCATGGTATCAACTCTCCGAGTCAGGTGGTAGGCTTTTCAGGTCGACCCTTCGCACACAAGACGTCCCTCATAGACCCGAGGCACACCATACAAAGCTAGCATTGTTATCATGATAGCAATTATCCCCACTCGGCAGATCCATGACTCCCTTGGCTTGTAGGTTTCCCAGAAGCTGTTGTAAAAGCCTTCAGAATTTTCCAGTGACGGACCTCCGGTTCTCTGGTCATAGAGCTGAGAAAGGGAGCCTCGGGATTTATCTGTCAAAACAGCGGGGGAGGGTGGCTGTACGAAGATTGTAGGGTCGTCCTTGAAATCGCTGCACGTATCGAGTGGAATTGTCGACGTGCGTGGTATTGTCGGTCAGCTGTTATCTCATTGGCTGGCTAGATCCAATCATGCTCGTCCGTCAAACGCCACAGTTCCGTAAACGGGAATCTGGCGCGACGCAACGCCCCGCGTAGCCATAAGTACGGCAGTGCTCCGAATCGTGGTCCACATTATGGAATGTGCATTGCTGAGAGTATTAGCAAGGTTACATGCGGCTACGCATGTACGGCCACTGCAGTGTGGATATAGGCATGAGCACGTCGGGCAGCACAGTCCGGAATGCATCAAGAGGTCCCCGGTCGCGACCAGCGTATATGATAGGGTGACGAGACATCTCAAAGCGAGCACTAACGCGTATGCGGGTACGGGCTAGGGCTCCTTGGCGGGGTACGAGGCTGTAGTCTGTCCAAAGTACCAGTACGCGTCCATATGTGCACTCGCATGCTGGTGTCAAGCTTGGGGCCGCTGGCGGCCGTGCACGGTTGCATCCTGGTAGCTGATGACCTGATCATTCGAGACCAGATGCAGCCAGGTACCCATGAGTAGTCTGGACACAAGACGTTGAAATACTGACCGCGCAGGCAAGATAACGCACCCTGACACCCCGTTGGCAAGGCGGCTGCATTAGGCGACGAGAGCGGACTTATAGTTGATCTGCAGACAAAAATACCATGGCTAGACCGTCGAGTGACGCTGCCTGGCGCTCGTCGCTATGCCCTCCCCCAGTCGACATCACCAACAACCAAGTCACTTGGTGCAACGGGTCCCATAGACCCTTGTCCTTCATGCGACTCATCATGACGGAGCCATTGGACGTCTGGCGCTTGCCGTTGTGGCTTGTTCCCCAGAGCTTGTTGTGCTTTTGTTTGCCATTATGGTCAGACTGAGGTAGCTCCCAGCAAAGATGATTCGCCCAACTTGGTTCTCTAAGGACGTGATCCAGGGGAGAGTTGAACAAAGAGCACCTTGTCCACTTCACGCGACTATAAGAGCTGTGATCACACAAACTCGCTCGTTACCAGGCCATCGCTTGTTGTTTTTCTTTCCTGCAGAAAGCTTTTATCGTATTCCGTTGTTCAGCCGCGAGCCTTCGCTCTCTTCCAAGCCGGGAAAGACATCTGTCGTGGCACCTTGAAGGTCAAATGGATCCTCAAGTCTCTCAATGACTGCAGAGATCTTGGGTTAAGCCAGGAATGGCTGGACCGGTATGAAGGAGCTAAGATCAAGTACCTGGTTTGCGCGCAGGTCGTCTTGCCCGAGGGACCGGTATCCGGCAAGTTCGAGGTCGGGGATATCTTGCTAGAACTTGATGGCCACCTCGTCAAGAGCCTCCTCCAAGTGGAGACATACATGGACGATCATGTCTTTGAAAGCGTCACGCTCACGTGCTGGGGCGCCAAGGGCCAGTTCACTGTTGAGTCCGAAATTGAGGACTTGCACGCCTTCTCTGCCACCTACCTTCTATTGGCCCACGGAACGATGTTCCACAACTTGACCTTTCCGATGGCCATCTGTTACAACTTGCCTGCACGGGGCGTTTTTACATGCGCGGGGGGCTCAAGAACCTTTTGATGAGATGATGCTGCTCAAGTCCGTCGATGGCAGGCCCATCACGGATACGACCCAGCTAAAGGCGATTATGGACCGAATCTGGAGCTCAAGAGACAAGCCCTTCATTTGCATCTCGCAGGAGAAGCTGAGAAACCCTGGCAACGCGGAACCCGTTTCGGGATATCTCCTCCAAGCCATCGATCAAGTGTCATGCGACATGACTAGAGAGCCTCACCAGGGAGGATCATGGGCCATCACCTCCATGTCGCTTCCGAAATCTACCTCATCGCCCTTCGGCAAAACAGGCCGAGAGCAGTCTACCCTGTGGAAAGATGCTGGTAGCAAGGAAGAGTTGGAGACTCGACCCGACCGTCTCTCGTCCCTCCAACTAGCCGACTCCGACACCCCTCACAAGATCGTCAAGATATTCTCGTCGTTTACCCTTTTGAACTCCCATCGCGACATTTGCATTGACGGCGACTCCAAGTCAAACAGGCTTGTTGGCGTCATGTTTGATGTCGAAAAAGGCCTTGTGTTCACGTCCCGGGATAACTTGAACCTGCTCGACGAAGTCGTGATGACAGTGGAAGGTGGCCAGGACGTGGCAGCAAGTGAGCTCGAGCGGCTCCAGACACGCACCAACTTGAAGCTGATCGGGAGCGGCCTCGTCGTGATAAAGGCGCTGGTACGTGACCGGACCCTGCTGGTGCAGCACGTGCTCGAGACAGTGGTCGGCCGGCTGGACCGCATCGACAGCGCGACCTCGGGACACCGTGTCTTCGACGAGATCGACGGCTTCCTCGAGAACGTAACCGGCCACATCATGGGCTGCCAAGCGATGCAATGATGTCCTTTGCTCGGGGAGTCTGGTTGAGGACAATCCCCACAGCAGCAATCACATCCTCAAAGAACAGGAGGCACTTCCGGTTCCTGGTGTCGCGGGTTAGAATGTCGCGGAACAGCTCATGAAGATCATCGGGAAGCTGCTGAAGCCGTTCGCGAAGCCTATGCTTGCGGCCGGTATCGTACTCCTTGTTTAGGGTATCTACCACGAGGACGACCCACATGAAGACACCGCATGCTTTCTCTTTTAGGTCAGACCATATCTCCTCCGCAAGTCTGTCGTGCCCAATCCGCAACGAACTGCTCAGGTACGCGGCAATGTTTTCTTGGTGCCCCTCGCGCTCTTCCAGCACACTGCCGAGGCCTGTCGTTACAAAGATCTCGGGGTAATGTCGGCTGGCGAAGCAGATATAGAGCAGACTGTCCCGCGCAAGCCCGGTCAGGAACGAGACAATGTCGCGGATCTGCTGTTCGTCACACTCGTCAAGTGCGTCAATCAGACACGTGATCGGGGGTCCGCCTTTGCCTTGGACCACTTCCTCGAGCAGAGACTTGAGCGAATCGACCGTCCACGGCCGGTCAGGTCGGACGCCGTCTAGGATAGCCTGCAGATCGGGTCGCGGGCTGAGCAACTGCCACAGCAACGATCGATACAACCCGATCGTCGACTTTTCCAGTTCATTACCTCTGGCATTGAAAAAGAAGGATACGAGGAGGTCATTGCTCTTCTTTTGGCGACGCTGACGTGTGATGTGATCTGCCCAAGCAGGAGCACGGGACAATGAAGCGCGACAGTGTCGGTGCACTGGTGGACTACCATTGCATGGCTATAAGGATAACGACAGCCAACAGCATAACGCCATAATAACTGATCGAAAGTGTGCCACGCTACAAAACAAGATGTCTAGTCAGTGATTCTACCCTATTCAAATTCATGAACCCCCTTCTCTCCCACGAAGCCACATAAATAAGCAAGATCATCGGTGCTGAGTTCCCCCGTAGATGAGCTGCCGCTTCGTCCAACGCAACATTGACCTGCCCCGGCTTTTGTTGCTGTAACTCGACAATGCGATCCTCAACTGTTCCCTCAGCCAGTATTCGATGCACTTGCACTTCCTGCGTTTGGCCAATGCGATGTGCCCGGCCAATGGCTTGGTCCTCCATCCACGGGTTCCAGCACGGGTCCATGAGAATGACATGTGATGCAGCACTGAGATTCAAGCCACAGTTCCCGGCATGAAGCGATATGAGCATCACCTTGATTCCATTACCATTTGTGAAACCAGCGACCGTATTGTTTCGCTGGTGAGGCTTCATAGGGTCACTTGTGCATAAGCCAGTTCTCGTGGAGCTGCAACGTACTTTGCTAGGGCGGCGATTGGTATCAGGCGGGACCAGTGCACGAAGTACGTAGCGAAAAGCAAGGCAATAAGCAACGGCTCAGGTCCAGCGCTAGCTGAATTTGGGGGCCACACGAGTGGCCCCTGGAAACGGCATAGTGAAGTTTGGGGAAACTGCCGGCACGCCGGGGAGGTTCCTGAGTTAATCTACAAAGCCTCAAATTGACCAGGGTTCATGCAGCATTGACGCGGCATCATTATCATTGCATTAGCCCCGCATTAGCCCCGTATCGTCAACAAAACCTCGGCAAGACGCAGGTTGAGCCGTGCCCAGCATAAGCGGCCGGGGCTTTAGCGAATCACCCCCAGCCGTGTCCTGAAAGACTATGCCAAATCCGGGGGCCACTTGAGTGGCCTCGAGTGGCCTCCAGACAGCCACTTGCGTTTGGTCGGGAGTGGTATAGCGTGCTGCGACCCACTACACCAATGCATCGCTCTTATTGAACCGAGGGTACCAGTCATCTCGTAGCAGATGTCCAGCTAACACGGGCCGCAGTCTCAAAACGAGGCCGACGTCCATCCATGGTGAGGCGATCATGGCACTCTGGTAGGAACCTCGCAGCAAACGAAGTCAAGCTGCTTGGGACTGTGAAAGCCCCTAGTAGCAGTACTAAGGTGCTAGTGCCGATGTAAATCATTGCGACTGAGGAACTGAAGAGTGATGCCTCTCCAGCGAAGTGGGTCTGACCATGATTTCCTGACCTGAACATGCAACAGATGGAGCAGCACCGCAGAACTCAAATCATGCCGTTCGTTCCATTTCTTTCCACCCAGGAAGTGGTGTGCGTGATCCAATAGTCACCCGGCCCAGACATCCTTGATAATGCTTGCCGATCATGTAAGGTCAACCCTGCCTCTATCCTTTATCTTCATTCGCAATATAAAATCCTGCACGCTTCTGCAGATGCCTTCATTGCCTTGTTCGCCCTTGACTTTTGGTTCGCCAGTTTTGAACCTCCATCAGTCGATCGTTATTGGTACAAACCCTCGCATAATTTTCTGCAAGCCATCTTTGACATGCCGGCTACAACATATAATTTTCCTGCAATACTCAACTATTTCTTCGATGAATGTTTGCCTCGCCGGCGAAAGGGGGTTGACCAAGCCTGTCCGACTCCCTTGGACAAAGCCGAGACGCAGAATTCCACCGACACTGAATGGCTGCCACCACACTGCCCCCCCACGGACATGTACGAGCCGGCAAGACCCTGGTCGCGGCCGGATCTCCAAGACTCCAATGGAAAGATCAAACTCAGCATCTTTGGCCAGCGTGGAGTCGGAAAGACCCACTACATTCATCCTGCTATTGGTCAAGAAATACCACAGGCTCCTCAGCTGGGCATGGGGCATACATACACAATACTAGATACTCTCAATGGTACCATTGTAGTTGATGGCACGGCACACGAACTGAAAATCTACGACGTTGGCGAAAAACGGATGGCGACTGTTTTCAAACCCCAAACATGTATTTATGAGGCTCATCTAATAATCTTGGTATACACACCCAAGGATACGGAGTCATACGATTGGGTTGATCTGCTGGCCTGGGAGCTTGGCCTCCAAGGCCCACGGGTTGCTCTTCTTGAGAACTCGTATCTAGGGGATCATCGGCCGGACTTGGTGGGTCATGACGCAGGCCCCCGCCTAGCCAAGAGGATGGGGTGGCAATTTTTTCGTCGCTCTGAGATGGAGGACGAAGCAGAGCCCATACGTCGGCTGATTCGTGTCTTGCTCACTTCCGATTCGAGATGAAGCTACAGGCGCCATGCAGCATCCTGGAAGCGTGTCACAACTTGATAGCTAGTCAAATTGGGGGCGTGGACCAAAAGGAATCATGGCTTTTAGATCGTCCAATGTATCTTTTAAATGTAGCAGTCACAGGTCGCAGGTGGCTGTCAACCTTCTCAACCTACTCACGTCTGTCCGCATCCTTTCAAGCACGGAACATGTTATCCTGTATTTCCAAAGAGCTGCATCAATTCATTAGTGCTTCTCATCCTTCTATCAAATCTTTGATAACGTCAGTTGAAGCTGGAGATTATCGCTCAGGGATGCAGGAGAAACGCACGATGGCTCTGCAACAATTGGGCTTCTGTCTTACAGCACCGCCGTTTCCGAACATTTTCAAAGCTTTCATTGATATTTTGATAAAACGTAATGAGAGTCCGACTTTGATTCGCGAAGCAGAGCACTACGGTAAGACTTGGACTCTTATTCCCTCCATTTGTCTGACTTGCTTCAGCAAGCCTACAACGTGCATCAAAGGTCGAGGTGGATCAAGTTTTGGCCATCTATAATCCTTTAATAATCAGAGGTCCGCATTTCTGGTTCAAGTTTGTCCCATTCAAGGAAGAGGCGATGGAAGATACGCAGTGAGGCAGGTGGTAGCTGGCAACGAGGGATCGATTCCCAATGAATACCAAGATGGCTCCAGCTGCATGGCCAAGGAGCGGCCTGGAGAAGCCACGCAGATCCTGGACCGACCCACTTCAGGTGGTCACGTCTTTAAGCTATCGAAACTCTTAAATCAGTCTCCATCCCCACAACTCATACTTGAATCGTTCAACCGTAGTCTTCATTTCATTTCATTTCTGCTATAATGATGAGCTGCAGGGCCGGGCATATACCAGAAGTGACCCAGTGATGAGCCCACCACGAAGCCCAGTGATGAAAATCACATCAACGATGCCACCTCTAACACGCGTCGAGCCCGACACAGATCCGTTGGAGTCTGGTCACAAGTACAGTAACTTCAGTTTCCTTCGACCCTACGCCTTCCTTCACTGACCACGGGCAGATTACCTGTTCCTGATTGATGAGGTTTGTCCCCAAGGGCGGAGTGGGAGTTTGACTAACACCACTACTCAGGGTGAGTTGACTTACGCAGAGTTGTGCGTGGGCTAAACAAGTAGTAGACTTACGACGCACTTCCGTTGTCGATATGCTCGGCTGCCTACATGGAAGTGAGTTCCCCGACTACACTGCAAGACAACGTGTACTAATCGACGCCAGTCAATCAAAATTGTTCCTTTGAACCCAGCGGCATATCTCTGGCTCCACTTGAGTCAGATTCCTTTCAGAGCAAATGCCAATTCAAATTTAGCCAATTCGAGAAGATCTCGTGGCAGAATGACGCACCATTTGACTTCGTTATTGCCAGAAGACTATCGTGGTCTTCAGCTTCGCCCAAGCAATTCATAGAGGAGGCTTTCAGGTAAGAAAGTAACCTTATTAGTGAGCTAAACTTACAGTATTTCAACAGTCATATGGCCTCAGGTGGCTGGTTGGAATTGCAAAATTTTCAACTCAACTTCAAGTGCAGTTTAGATACAGACGAAGCTCGTTTAGCAGACCAGCTACTCAAAACCTCCAAGTATGGATGGTCTCTGACTGATATGAAGCTGTGGATGGAGTCAGCAGGCTTTCAAAATGTGCAAGAACGAAGCGCTCCTTGTACTGAATATACTTTGGACGGTGCGAAACGAGGCTTAGAAGCTGCATTGATCAGGGAGCCAAGGCTGCAGGAATTGCGAGTGGCATTGGATAACCCAGTTTTTGCAAAAGAATCTCATATGTAAGTTGAACTACCACCCGGTCCTTTGACGCTGACAGCCATGTACAGGCAAGTCGTCCACGGTCAAAAGCCGATTGTGTCATGCGACAGTGTATTGTGCGAGTGCAAGAAGGGTTGTGACAAGATTTGTTTAACAAGTATCAAGGAGTTTGGTCTCGTCTCGGTAAGCTTACCACCAGAAGACGAGCGTGTGATGGTTTGGTCAAAGCGCTATAAATGGGGGATCACGCTGAAACCTTCCACGCTCAAGACGGGGCTGTTACTTTTCTTAGAAAGAGAGGAGAACCTCAATCTTGAAGTCCATGGCAATCGCTTCGTAGGCCATCGCCTGGATATGAGCGTAGCTTCTGATATTCTGAACATAATTCTACACGTAGATTTCGGAGGCGAGCAAGTCATGACGAGCCTTTTGGGGGAAGCATGGAAGCTGAATAGATAGTCAGTCAGAAATGTAAGTCTGCACTGAAACTAATATGCAATAAAAGCATTCTGTGGCGAGCGGATAGCAAACCTTCCGTGACCAGTCTCACTCGACATACCATTTTGGGCCCTAGGTGCCACTACGCTATGCCCGAAGGCGGTGGCTTGCAGATATCTGCCGTAATATTTTGAATTCCAATTGACCAAGAATACAGCCAAGCCTAGCAAGTATTAAGTAGCGTCTGACCCGCTCTTCCGTCAATTTTATTTTCACCTCTTCTTCTCCTTCTCCTTCTTCTTGTTCTTCATCATCGTCCTCGTACACAGAGCCCCTTGCTTGATCGTGCTCACCACTATGGCTGCGACGCTAGTAACACCAGACATATTTGACGGCAAGCCATCAGACCCCTCTCAGAAAGAATGGAACCTTTTCTATGTCGACCAGTCTGATCTATCTCTGTTGTCACTACCATCTGGAGTGCCTGACTTCCATGAAGTTGGAAAAACAGCAGACCGTCTCCACGTCCAGATAGCCGCTCCAGCCGATGGACAGCGTCGGCTTCGAGAAGCAGGCATCGAACTAAAACAAAACCTCCGATTGAGGGTGGGCCACGTCGAGTTTATTACCAAAGCAACCGAAGGAATTGCAGTTTTCGGTCGGAGCCTAGGAAATCTTTATCGACGCCACCTCCAATATGATGAAGCTAGTCAACAGATTGAATGGTCCATATTCAAAGCTGAATGGAAGGTAAGTGTCGTTGGACATCGAACTTCTATTATGCTAAAAGGATCCAAGTACGCTCCTGACGATGTCAGGCAACGAACGATCCTGAGTTTGACTGCCTTGTTCATTTACAACGGGGTAGATGCCGGCAATCTATCCAATGTCTCCGAAGACGTCTTGGTTCAGTTTATGAATCAAAATCTCTCTGTAGCCATCCATAACCAGGATATCTGGGCACTTCACAAACTCGCTATACTACGCCGCGTATACCGGTTTGTTGGGGGCTATCTCAGTCAAGAGGAACAGCAAATGGACCCTGGAATCCTCAATGTCGGGTTCAACGCACGAGAAAACCTTATCATGTTGGGGGAAATGCTCGGTTTGGATTTCCATCCCACAATGAAAGCCCCCAATTGGACGGAGACACGACTCAGCTTGGAACAGTGTGCGTGTTTCAAGCATAAGCTTCCTTCGAAGGCCATATTCGACGTCCATATCCAGCGACTCCGATTGTACTGCCCAATGCTCTTCGTTCACAGCGCTGGTGCAATGCCATACTTGTTTTGCGTTGAGGAGAGAAGGGAAGTACCGTTGGAGCTGCTGATCGATCTTTCATGGCGGGATTGCATGGATCTCCGACTGTACCACTTGAACCTTGTTTATAAGTACCAAAAGTCACTTTTCGTAAGTGACTCCGCTTGGATATTCATTTTCTGGAGAACCCAACAAGCGCCGGGGAAGCATCTCTCAGAATACACGAATACCGCGCAGGGTCGGGAAGCGCTTCTCGATCAACCAAAGGACAGACTCTTCGAGTGCCTCGTTTATTACGATGTGGCTATAAACTTACTCTGGAGGTGGTTTGTTGTGAGCTTTCAAGACGTCTCTGATGACACGACTCTCCAGAAACCATATATCTCCAACTTGCAGGCTTTCTTAGCCATTACAAGCAAGAATGTCGGGCGCGCAGCAGCACAGGTCCTTGGAGAAATGCTGTACTCTCTACTGGAAGTCTCGGAAGAAGTCTATGAAGACCACGACCTGGCCAAATTGTTCCGGAGTCACGCTCAATGGAGCCTCTTCGGGCTGCGCAACGAGGACCCGCTGGCCAAAAGGTTCTGGTCCCATATGATTGCCAGCAGGACCCCTGAAGTTCGCAATAGCACAGGACCCTATCATTGCCTCGAAATCAAATGCGAATGCAGCAAGTACCTAGTCTCGAATGCTTATAACTCTTGCTTTGTTCGGGAATACGGCATTGTGAAGGTTCCTGAAGCAGAAGAAGGGTTCGTGGCGATTTGGGTAGGCAAGTTGTCTTGGCTCGTCAGATTTCCTCGCGATATACTCAAGCCAAAACTTGAAGAAAGTCTCGAAGAGCACGAGTTGGAAACTGAAGATATGGTACAGTTCCCCGGATTGGTGGAAGCGGTGGATGCTTTGAGTATCGTTGTGCGGATGGATCGAACACGGGAAGATGATGCGTTGATCAATAGGATCCTAGGAGTAGATTGGGTTCGTTTCTAGCCGCAAGTTCACGCTAATATGATGTGCTCGGTCGTAATAATATGATACGGTGTGTTCATTTCATCTTTTAGATGTTCCTAGCTCCTGTATGAATGAGATGATCTAAGGTCTCCTGCAGTCGCTCTAACTGTTCCATCGCAACTTCTGTGCCTCGCGTACTTGCAACGACCTGGTGATCTTGTCTCCCGAACACGTCATCAAAGCCACCATCCCGAATAAGCCTATATACTGAATAAGGACAGTTACTGATTCTCTGCGGCTTGCCTCTCCCACAGTCCATTCTGATGTCAAGTTTAGAGGAAAGGCTGGTAACCTGGAGGCTAAAGATCCTGTGAAACGGCCTACCTGCTTTACCCCGCGCAAGTGCCGACGGCGTAACCAACATCTCCTCCTTTCCGGCCCCTCCAGATGCCATGTATATGTGTGTGTTTTTGAGCCTTAGCTTGAAGAGCAGGGTAGTCAAAGGTGTTCCAGCTGGCAGTCGACACTTCAGCCGGATGTGTACTGTTTCTGGGACCGTGTAGAATGTTGGAGCCTCAACTAGCTCGATGTAAAACAAGGAGGACATCATCTTACTGGCCATAAGGTGGAAGGCACTTGGTTCGCATTTATCGCTAGAGCATTGGATGGCCACGTCAGACTTGTGCTCAAACGCTGGAGAAGATTGCCTGATATTGGTGGGGGCTGCGATTTTCGGCAAACTGAACGATGCGGATGACGTATTGGTATTAAAGAACGCAGCATGTTCAACAAGCAAGATGACGTCCGCCCCGTTGAATAAGCGCGCACCAGCGAGATCCCAGCGGAGGCCGTCTCCAAACGACGCTATAGACCCTTTCTTGACAAGTTTCGCCTCGCTAAGACTGTCAAGGTGATACTTGACGTCTGCTATAGTCCAGCCTGCTATGAAGATTATTGATTGATGTAGTAGATATTTGAGGTGCCGTCCACGGAAGGCAAGTCCCATTCTATCCCGTGTGAGGAAAGATTCCTCAATCTGGGAACTTCGCCATCTTCTTGAAGAAACACAGCGCGCCAAATTGAAATCGAGGATTCATGGGTACCACTGTAATCCAAGTCAATGCCAATGACTACTCTGATGGCGCCGTTAGATTTGAGTATGTAATCCCAGGCTAATTTGTCGAGATTCTTTCCATTTTGTGAATAAGAGATCTCGAGGACCACCCCGGGATAGGCAGCATCACTGTGCTGAAACTGGGCATCTGGCTGTCGTTGCATTGGTTGGGTCGTCGTGGGAAGTCCTTCGAATGAGCTCCCTCTTAATAAGATGCGAGACGATGTTCCATTTGAGATGCTGGCTGCAAATTTGCCAGTTTCGTCGTCCCGCTCAGCCACCCGGTCTAAGAAGGCGGTAATCTGATTTGCAAGAAGAGATGCGAAAAAGTCATGTACTGGGGATGGCATGCGAACAGGGTACGCGACCGGACCCTGCTGGTGCAGTACGTGCTCGAGACGGTGGTCGGCCGGCTGCACCGCGTCGACAGCGCGACCTCGGGGAACCGTATCTTCGACGAGATCGACGGCTTCCTCGAGAACGTAACCGGCCACATCATGGGCTGTACACAGCAGGTCATGCAAGACGCCTCCGCCGTCCACGGCGTGGTGCGCAACATGTGGCGCCTGCTTCCGGGCCGAGCCGACAGGAACGACCTGGAAGACGTGACACGCCTCTTCGGCGAGGTTGATACGTTCAAGAAGAATGTCGAGGAGCTGGCAACCTGGTGGGAATCGGGGTTGCGCTGCGCGATAGACACCAGGGCGACAGCGAGCCACCCGCGGGGATACGCGTTACACCTTGTACCACGAAACTTTCACAATTGATTCACCACATAACTGATTTCAAGTATATTGAGTATATTGCCTAGATACGAATCAGATAGTGCACTACTGCCAATACCTCAAGCTGGCTCAACCGTGTCAACGATGTCACGTCAGTGTTGCATTTCACGTTCTGGAAACTCCGGGTTTCATGTATCTAGTTATCACACCAGCTGGTCAATCTACATTATTGTGTCCCTGGCTAGGCTGGAGCAGTCGTCTGGTTGTTGAACGAGGACAGAACGAAGCTAATCTCGTCCATGGCTATTCTCTTAGATGATTCCATGACCGCTGCGTCCGGATAGAAAACATGGACGGGGCCATGTGCTACTTCCCTGACCCTGATAAGTCGCTGCCCGTTGGCTTCGTCCCAGTAACTCTCAGCCTTCCGATATGGCAAGGAGGTAGGATGAGCCAATGGGACGACAGTAAGCACATCGAACATGTGCATCTTGATTAATGTGTTCGTTTCCCTGGTAAAGCGAGTTGCCTGTTCGTAGGAATCACGGTCTTTGGCCGCATCGAATATTTGTATCAACTCCACCGTGTTGAAGTCCCAAGGGCATGCACGAAGGACGTTGTCGCTATGCATCTTGGCTTTGGCGCATTCCGTCGGGAAGAACCAGGTGGGAATGTTCTTCTTTCTAACAATGTCCTCGATCTTCATGGCAGCGTCGAGATCCATCAAGTCATTGTAGTTATTCGGGAAGATGTTTACATCGGCATGCAGAGTACGTGCCATAGCGACGACGGCCAGCGGCTGGTGGTCCGTCTCTCCCAGGAAGCGAACCATCTCAGTGAATGGCCCTCCACCCAGTACTAAGGTACGGGCATCCTTTGCAGGTCCACTGAAGTGCTGTAGTAAACCCTCCATTGGGTGTAGTATGTCCTCGGGACTCTTGTAACCCAAGTGGGCGGCAAGTCTTCTAGCTGCTTGTGTCATGATTCCCACCATCTTCATCTCGCGCTCTTCGCCACGCAGATGGAGGATCGCGTGGGCAGAATCCAGCTCCTCAGTAGTGCAGGCATAGAGCTGGTCGTTCACGTGCGTCGAGTGGTGAATGCCCGGAACAATGGTGTCGGTAGATTTCCGGTCCTAGTAAAAGTTGAACCGGTTCTTTGCGTGGCCTTTAGACTCAAATTTCAAGGCGAATCGAAGTGCTGAAAGTGCCATGTACAGTGGCAGGTGCGCCTTTGTGTGCATGTCTCTCTGAAATGATGTGTCACGGGCGAAGTAGTCCCGCCATTGCTCATCATCCAGCAGGTCGTTGATTCCCTCGGCGTCGGTGTCCCGGACATCAAGCATATGTCTCAACCCGACTTTCGCCTGGAGCTTCGCGAAATGGCCGGCGAAGGATGGGACACGCAGATCTAGGACCCGTGGCGAAAGTACGATGTGAACGACGGCATTCGGTGCACGAACCAGGGCCCAAAGGCACATCCAAATATTGTCTAGGTCGACAACGTCAACGAAGACGAGCACATGCGCAAGGCTCATGCTTCTCTGCTTTCTCAAACTCTAGTTCGATGATCAATAGGATTTACGATCATGGGAACTCAATTCAGATGCATTACACCTGATAACCGTCATACTCCATCTATACAGCCCAACAGGAGGCGGATAACAAGCCTAGAAGTATATTTTGAAGAAATTCAAAGCTAGGCTTCATAATGACTCAAATGATAAGATTCAACAAGAGAAACTTTATGATTACAGTCTCCGCCAATGATAAGTCGCTCCTATCATAGAGTCTGATGGTGACCAAGGGACAATACCCCTGAAAGATGATGACCAGGGAAATATAACATCTATTTTGGGGATTCCCCCGAAGAAACAAACCCCAAAGATACCACGCTCAATTTTCAAGTGTACAGTCCGCTTTTCACTCTGATTGTTAGCCTCTTGGATGGTGACCATGATGGAGACGTGGCGGTGAACGTCATGAGCATCATGTCCCATGCTCCCCGCAATTTTGGGTTGAAGTGATGTGAACACTAGATCGTTGTCGTTGACCTGGAAAGTGTGATCCCAGACAAAGGCAGCGGTAAAGGGATGCTGTGGCTCTTCCAGATTCCAGATCTTGCCTAGCCTGATAGGTTTTCCTTGACCTGCGGCGGCGGCTACTTCTATGGCCATCAAGAGCATGTAGTCTTCGCCAATCTGATAAGGTCGATTCCCCTTCTCATCCATTTCGATGTACCGTTCAAGCTTGTTTGCAAGTGGACCCTGGTTATGTGCCACCAAATCATAACATAACTGAATGAGTTGAAGTTTCTGCTGGCTACTGAGATGACCCAGCGTAGGATCACTATCGGAAGGACACGAATACGATATCCTGGAAGTTTGAATGACGGGCCCAAGTTGCCAAAGATGTCCTTGCGTTTGTATGCCAATATTCGTCAGGCAAGGTGCGGTGAATCTTATCCCTCTCTTGAAAGTAAGCTTTCGGTCGACTTGTGATGGGCTAGCCGTGTGAAGGGTATATTGCTCAATCAGCTGAGGCACTGTAAGCTGAGACACGGCTCCCGACAATTGCGCACAGAAGAGTTCACCATTGAGCAAATACGTCGCCAGTATGGATAGGCTGAGACTCTGGTGCTTGCTTTGAAGTTTCTGCCCGTCAAGCCGGACAGAGTATCCACAGCAGTTTGAGATAATTGACAATTTATCCCATGAATTGCCGACTTCTCTCTGATTAACATCCGTGATAATATATGGCGTCATTGCTTTCAAGTCGCCTAGTAGAACCGTGTATCTTCCAGCTCTTTTTAAGACATTGCGTACCATCATGCTCTCTTGCGGTGTTGTACTCTTGCTGCGTTGAAACGCATGGCACAGGCGTGTAGCCCAGAGAGACAAGTGTGATGATTGGATGCAAATCTCACCAGGGATGGTTCCAAATATATCGAAGCTTCTGCTGCTCCCAGGAAGACGGATGCGAGATTAAAAGCGACATAGCCTCGCCACCCTTGAAGTTTTCCTGAAATATCCAAGCGCGCGTCCACCAAGGATCAGACGTTATTGCGTGAAGCAATTGCAACCCTTCCTTGGCGGCTAGGCGTTGGTCTGCCTGGCTGAAGAGCTCAAAGTGAGACGTCCCGACAACACGGACAGTATACTCACCAGAGAGGATTCCATGCAAGATCCTAAGCTCTTTCTTATTCTTTACTGGACGCCCAAGAAGCGCTACTGGGTGTGCGCTGAGGCTGTATACCCAGTCCATAGACTGAATACCCTCGGCTTTTCGACGACATGCTTGGTGTTTACAAACAATATATGGTTTGCAGGTTCGTTGCGGGAGACTATGCTGGTCGATCCATAAGAGGTTCACTCTTTGGTTGCGCATATACTTATAGATGCGTTGAAAGACGCAGTTTCTGACTGGTGAAGCAAATTTATTGTTTCTTCCCCGGTCGTAGACGCCATATCGACCACTTTGATTGCTTTCGTTGGTTGACGCCTTCCAGGTGTAGGATAGGGCCACAAAGTCTCTATCTTCATGAGCATTGATCCATTGTCGACGTAAGATGGTTTTATCAAATGAGTCGAAATAAAAACACTCAAGCTGCCTCAGGAACCTTGACAGAAAGTTCGTCCTTTCAATTTGGTTCTGCTGAAGCTCTAAAAGGAGCTGTATAAGAGGCTTTCCGTGTGCGGTAACGATCTCTTGAAGTGTTTGCTCGACATCATCCATGATAAGACACAAGCATCCAACAAAAGTCAAAAAGTAAAGTGAAGGACATAGATAGTTAAGTGGAGATCACGATAATGAGAAGTCGTGCGACGACGATCCCGTATATTCAAGTGTGGATCGCAACATCACGTGGTTCATGCGGGGTAGAGCCAGCGGCAAGCGTCCTTCAAAGTCTGAGAAGCGCTTGTTTCGACCATTCGCCGTAGAAGCGTTCCTTAGTTGGGCACAGCACGCTGATTACATTGCACAAGGCCCAAACAATAATTGCATCCATCACTTCTTTTAGCGGTTCTGAATTGCTAATTACAAAGCCTGGCAAGTAATACTTGTTGCCACTAATATGGCGTTCGATGTCACCCTTTCCAGCAAGAACTTCTAGTGATATCGATTCCTGGAATTTATTCATGATATGCGGCAAGGGACGGGAGGTTGCGAGTTTATTAGCTGCAGTAAAGCGCTAAAGCTCAATCAAATGCGATATTAGCTCATTTTGTCCGCCGTTCGATTGATACTCATCGAGCGTGTCGACCACTATGAAAACTCTCATAAACAATCTAGATACCCAATGGAGGGTGTTGATGATATCATTACGACTTAGTCGGCCACTCTTGACTTGACACGGATCGAAAAGAGCATTCAGACTGTCCGGCATGTTAACACTGGCTTTGCCCAATTGTCAACGAGAATGTTTTCCCAAGAGAGATCTGCATGGGCGAAGCATACGTCGTATGTATCAGCTAGTTCGCTTCGATATTTAGCGACCAGTTCCGGACGGGGGCAATGTCGGACGGGGGCAACTAGAAAATCGTGGAATTCAGCCACGGAGTCAAAAGGCCCGCAGGTCGACATGATCTCATGTTTCCTAGTTGCCACATCTGGCGGACCATGCAGTGATTAGAATTTAGCCTGCACAGCAATTGCAGACTGAGGTATGGCCGCATGCTTCTGATAACAGTTCACAGGGATACACAACACCTCGGATATACAACCAAACTCTCTGCACTAAGTGCCGAATCTGAAGCTGCATAGAAGTGGACATTAGACGATTCACGGCTCACTGGCCAAGATGTCTCCGTTGGGACCCCATACCCATGGGATGGAAGTGTACGTGTTCGCACCATGATGTCGTTAGTAAATAGGCAAATAATGCACAGTAAAATTGTCCAACCCCAGAAAAATGCTTTGGTTAGTAATGCTGTTATAAGTTTACAGCACCAAACATATATCAGAGTCATCCACCCCCCTGAGCGGACAACAGTAGCATCCCAATATATCGCTTTGAATTCGCTCACTGACACAATACCACTGTTATTCGTCCTACAGATTTCATACTTTCAAGTCTCGAATTCTACAGTATATTGGTTTCTGTGCTTCGTACATTGAGCTCGCCTGCATTTTTCTGTCCGTTACTTCCTTACTAACAGAACGTTGTCGAGGCATTTCCACTCCACAGTCACGACTCTCATGAAAATGGCGGATAGTATCCAGAAACGGCAAAAGCGGAAACCGCTGAAGTTACGGATCCCCCCAATCTTGGATCGCCATCAGACTCGACAACGAGAGTCGAACAATTTTGAGCCAAAGCTGGACCCGGCTAGTGTAACACGTCAACAGGCAATTCGTGGGCATGGTACAGCTGAGACATCCCCGAACGATGTTGTCAGTGATTGGATAAAGACTATGTCACCATAGCAAATGGGGGATTGCTCAGATCACAAAGTTCAGGTCAGAGAGAATGCAAGATCATAGCACCATAATTACCTCGGAGGCCGCGTCCGTGAAAGGCCTAGGATTTGCGGATTCCCCACAAGAAGTTCATCGTGCCTATTTCACCTTCAACTCCCAAAGAAACTCCATTTGAAGTCAATTTCAGGAAATAGCGATAGCTTTCTTTGTATCGAGCGCGTGGCGTAAAGCCGCCATTGCTTATGGGCCCAACGGTTTGACCCTGTCGTTCTGGACGTGGTTATCATGGACTAATGGTTCACTGGGCCGGGGATCTACCTTTGCTAGCCACCCAAGACATCGCCCAGATATGGTCGACTGCCTCGAATGACGCAGAGACCTTGAATTCAAGGGTCTGGATCCGACCCAGGCTGGGGAGACCATGGTTGATCGACAATAAGAAAAAGGAAAATGGGCATTAGATACATATTTGACGGCTTTCATTGTGAGGAGGAAGGCATATTGCGTGGATTCACATTGCGCGGATTTGACTCGTCTTGTATTCCTCCGTATAGGGTGTAAAATTGACTTGATTCGGTTGTCACTAGGGTCACACGTCAGGAGCTCACTGTCGGTTATGGAACTACCGCTGATCTTCGACAAGCATGTATGACTGCCTAGAAGATCCATTGGCAATACAAAACCCAAACATTGTGCACATCGGCTGCTATTTCTTCCACACGACCATATCGTCGAAATTTGTTCTTCTACCTATTTAACTACCCCGCGCCTTCGAACACCCTAACGCTGCAGAGCTAGCGTTCAGCTAGTTTCGTGTCAACCTTTCCCCTCTGACACAAATTTATAGGGTGATCTCTTTACCAGTCCTTTTCGCATCTTAACAAGGCTACTAAGCCAATATGTTTCATTGTGTTCCTCTGCCGTTTGAGCTTTCAGGAACACGTAATAGTGAACCTTGCTTTCTTGCCAGTTTTGCGCTCCTGGGTGCGTATGTCCTCAATGACATCAGGGAGTTCATTCTTGGAGGAAATCTTGTATGCTGTCACAGTACCTTCGCAGTCTCTCAAGTGATGGCCAATTATTATCAAGTTATCGCTCAGGGGCTATGAAAGTTAGTGAGTGGGCATTGAGCTGGAATCAAAATCTTCTCACTTTCTTGTCCAAGATAGGCAAGTGCCCGCGTGATTCTTTTTCCGGGGTAGAATAGATTTGATAGGTGTCAGGATATTCACGGGTCTTGTCAACCACATTCGACCAGAGACTCGCTTGCTGGAGAAAGAAACGCGGCAGACTCTTGAGTCGCTTCAAAGCACCCTCACAGTGAAAGCTGATGATCTTTACGATCGGGATAACAACCGAACCAAAGGCTAATATAGCTGTGGCAAAGACAATGTTCATGATATCGAAATACAGAAAGTTTTCCATGGTGCTTGCTGTGTTGTGCTGTAAGTGTAGGAAGCTTGAGATTCGTTGGAGGTTGGATCGAATTGAGATTGGTAGGCACCTGACCGATGGAAGACGGTATTTATATTCACAGCTCGGTATTTAGACCATGGAAAAGGGATATTTCTACGGGATCGGTGCAACTCTGTAAGCCGCTGTACAAGGCACTAGGCCGGCTAATACGGCCCCTAGGCTCCATGACCAGGAACTGTGGCAATGAGTTCAGATGATAGGTCAGCTCGGGACAGTTGGACTGCACCCGGACAGTCTGTTATCCCGGCCCTACCTTCGTATAAAGACTTGAGCCCAATTTTGAACCGGGGCGCCCGACGTTCTGCCAAGACAGGCACACACCCATGCGGATGGCAACCGGGAGTTAGGGAAGACACGTCCCTTCGAGCCTTGTCTAATTCAAACTTCACAGTCTAGGTTCTCAACAAAACATGCCATATTGCAAAGACCAAAGGTGTAGTAAGGTCGGGAGCGACGCACCCGTTTACGCAAGGTAGAGCTAGGGAGCAGAGAAGCGGGCCGATTGTATAGTCAACATCTTCAAACAAACAAGGCAGAATATAGTACGGCCACCGCTGCTTGGCCTCGATCGGATAGTATAATGCCCCGACCTTCAGCTACAGCCGTGAACATCATAGTCGGCAACCTGGGTGAGAAAATGTGACTGTCCATACAGGATGAAGTATAAATACTTTTCAGTTGCCGCAGTTTGCTTTCCAATATCACACGTCTTTTTCATGGCATTCAATCTATGATGGCAATCCCTTATCATGTTGCTAACGGGAAAACTCGGCTTCTTCTATTCTCCGTCTCTTTACAACTGCGAGAGATTGTACATGACGCGTTCAGCCTTTTGCGGGATGGTGCTGAACCTATAGCCGGGGCTGCTAACACTTCAGACCTGCATTCAAATGTGAGTGAAATTGTGCAGCACATGGGAAGGGAACTGTCAGATGGGGTAGACGCAGCTTTCGATCAGATCACTCGGGAACTCAATGCCCACTTCAACCCGCCCGGGTTGCCAGCCGTTCCTCCATCCGAAAGCATTATGCCCTCCACGAATACATCATTTCTCAATGTCACTCAGGATATTCATCCATGTGGTGCGTGCCAAAGGACAATCACAAGTGGAAGAATCAGTGTGTATAGACATTGCGGCTGTGTAAGGCAGATCACCAATACTCCCTGCTCTTCGATGCTGACACTTCGCTAGCTAGTCTGTTCCTA